CCGGTGGCCGGGAGCAGCCACTGCACTCCAGTCTGGGCGACCGAGTGAGACTCCAACTCAAAAAAATAAAAAAAGTGTGAGCAGAGGCCCCTCCCCACAACTCCCTTCCAGAGAGAAGGTTAAAAGGAGACGGTGAGATAATATTTTTAGCAGTGTGTCGGGGTCTCTAGCCATCCTCTGCCCTAGCCTGGTCACTCCAGCAGTCAAGAGCAAGGAACCAAAGGGAGGCCTTTTCCACAGCTGGCCTGCCAGTCACCATTTTGAGCCAGGAAGCAGTGGAGAGGGACAACAGGAAGAATTTTTTTTTCTTTTTTTGAGTCAACCTCTCACTCTGTCACCCAGGCTGGAGTGCAGTAGCATGATCACGGCTACTGGTGTTCCTGGGTTCAGGCGATCCTTCTGCCTCAGCCTTCCAAGTAGCTGGGACTACAGGTGCATGCCATCATACCTGGCTAATTTTGTTATAGGTCTTGCTATGTTGCCCAGGCTAGTCTCCAACTCCGGGACTCAAGCAATCCTCTTGCCTCAGCCTGACAAGTATGAGTCACTGTGCCTGGCCTTGGGGAGAATTATATATACCTTTTTCAAAATTGTCTTTATATGAAAACTTGTTTGGAAATAATGTAGTATTCCTGGACCAACCCCACCCCTCAAGCAATTAAATTCTTTAAAAAACAGATTCTAGGCCGGGCTCAGTGGCTCAACCTGTAATCCTAGCACTTTGGGAGGCCGAAGCGAATGGATTGCCTGAGCCCGTGGGTTCAAGATCAGCCTAAGCAACTTGGTGAGACCTCACCTCTACAATAATTCAAAAATTAGTTGGGCATGGTAGCACACGCCTGTAGGTCCGGATACTTGAGAGACTGAGGTAGAAGGATGGCTAGAGCCCAGAGGGTTGACGCTGGGGTGGCCGTGAGCGTGCCATTGCACTCCTGCCTGGGTGATGGAGTGAGACTCCAACTCACAAATAAATAAATAAGCAAGTAAATAAATAAATAAAATCAAAAAATAGCTTCATAGAAAATAAGAGGAAGGCAAAGTTTAGGAAGGCAAACTCAACAATTTCTGAGTTGTGTATAGGACTTTAATTCTCATCCTTGAAACATTGTTGGAAGGGGGCATGGAAGGAAGCACTCTCTGGTTCAGGAAATACCCTTACATTTACGCATGACAGAACTCATGATGAAGAGGGACTGAGATTTTTTGGGGGGGGGATGAGAATCTTTTTTTTTGTTTTTTTGAGTTGGAGTCTCCATCACCCAGGCTGGAGTGCAGTGGCACGCTCACGGCCACCCCAGCATCGACCTGCTGGGCTCCAGCAATCATTCCGCCTCAGCCTTCCAAGTAGCTGGAACTACGGGCACATACTGCCACCTCTGGCTAATTTTTAAATTTATTGCAGAGATGAGGTCTTGCCAAGGTGCCCGGACTGGTTTCGAATCTGTGGACTCGGTGATCCACTCACCTCGGCCTCCCAAAGTGCTGGGATTACAGGCTGAGCCACTGAGCCCAGCCTGAGAATCTTTTTTAAAAATTTTAAATTTGGGAGACTGGGTGCAGTGGCTCATGCCCGTAATCCCAGGAGTTTGATCCCAGCCTGGGCAACATAGCAAGACTTCGTCTCTACAAAAGATCAAAAAATTAGCTGGACATGGTGGTGTACCTGTAGTCTCAGCTACTTGAGAGGCTGAGGAGAATGGATCTCTTCAGTCTAGGAGGTTGAGGCTGTGGTGAGCCTTGATCATGCCACTGCACTCCAGTCTGGGCAACAGAGTGAGACTCCAACTAAAGAAAAAAAGAAATATACCAGTGCAGTGGCTCATGACTGTAATCCCAGCACTTTGGGATGCTGAGGCAAGGGGATTGCCTGAACTCAGGAGCTCTAGACCAGCCTGGGCAACATAGTGAGATCTTGTCTCTACAAAAAAAAAAAAAAATCAAAAAATTAGCTTGGTGTGGTGGCATGTACCTGTAGTCTCAGCTACTTGGGAGGCCAATGCGGGCGGATCGCCTGAGCTCAGCAGGTTGTCTGTGGTAGCTGTAATCATGCTACTGCACTCCAGTCTGGGTGACACAGTGAGACCCTCAACTCAAAAATAGAGAGATAGATTCAGGAGTACAAGTGAATGTTTATTACATGGACATTTTGTGTACTGGTGAGGGTTGGGTGTCACTATTCAAATACCCAGATAGTGAACATTGTGCCCAATACATGGCTTCTAAACCCTCAGCCTCTCCCCACCTCCCCAGTTTTAGTGTCCCAGTGTCTGCTATTTCTTTTTGTCCATTTAGCTCCCACATATGTGGTGTTCAATTTTCTGTCGGAGGTAGTTCACTTAGGATGATAATCTCCAGCTCCATCTGTGTGGGACTGAGACGTTTAGTCTTGAGTATTTCGCTCAGTTTGAGCAAAAGTAAGAAAGACTACAGTTTAAGCCCAGGAAACTTGAGTGAGTAAATACCAGTGGAATTTGTGATGGCCTGATGGCTCAATGTGTTCCTTTCCGTCCCTGCAGTATGCCACCACGGGCTGTTCCCTGACCCTGCACCATACGGAGAAGCCAGAACACGAAGACATCTGTGAATACCGTCCCTACTCCTGCCCTTGTCCCGGTGCTTCCTGCAAGTGGCAGGGGTCCCTGGAAGCCGTGATGTCCCACCTCATGCACGCCCACAAGAGCATTACCACCCTTCAGGGAGAAGACATTGTCTTTCTAGCTACAGACATTAACCTGCCGGGGGCCGTCGACTGGGTGATGATGCAGTCGTGCTTTGGCCATCACTTCATGCTGGTGCTGGAGAAACAAGAGAAGTATGAAGGCCACCAGCAGTTTTTCGCCATCGTCCTGCTCATTGGTACCCGCAAGCAAGCCGAGAACTTTGCCTACAGACTGGAATTGA